TCAGCAATTCTCTTGCATGTCCCTACAAGGTTGGCTTTCCCACAATGAGTTATTTTGTATCTTATCTTCTCATCTGAACCTCCGATATTCCCCTGTAACTCTTCTCAGTTGAAGAAGATCTTGAAAATATAACTTATCAAAATTCCTGGGATTCAACTAAAATAATGCTTAAAAGGAAATTTATAACTTTAAAGGCTTAGATCATGAACAAAGAAAGGTCTTAAACAGTGATGTACTACTTTAAGAAGCTAGAAAAAGAAAAGCAAACTTGCCCAGAGTAGAACATATAAAATAATAAAGAACAGAAATCAATAAAACAAAAAATAGACAAACAACAGAGAAAATCAATAGTCAAAAGCTGTTTCTTTGAAAAGACCAAAAAATCTATAGTTAAAATGATGAAGAGAAAAGAGAACACAAATCACCAAAATCAGGAATGAAAGTGGGGTTATCACTATAGATCATACAGACATGAAGAGGACAGTAAGACTATATTTATGATCGATTTTATGCCAACAAATCTGACAACTTAGATGAACAAATTCCATGAAAAATATAATTTACCAAACTCAAAACACGATAAAACAGAAATTTTGAACAGCCCTACATCTTTAAAACAAACTGAATTCTTATCAAAGAAAACAACAGATGGTTTTATTGGTGAATTCTTCTATCAACATTCAAAAAGGAATAATACCAATCTTATGCAAATATTATTTTTTAGAAAACAGAGAAGAAACACTTCTCAACTCATTTTGAGGTCAGCATGAGACTAATACCAAAACCTGTAAACTACAAATAAGCCATAAGACCGAAAATTTAAAAGTGCACTTCAAAATAAATGTGATATGACAACAAAGCATATAAAAATCTATAGGGTTTGACCAAAACATTACTCATAACCGAGTAGGCTTATCTCAGGAATCCAAGGATGATGCAACATTTGACGAAGTCTCATTATAATTCACTATATTAAAGGAAGAGCAGAGAGAAAATATGTGATCATTTCAATAAATAGCAAATTAAAGCATTTGATAAGTCATCGTTCATTTAAAATTTAAGACAAAAATTCTTGACAAACTCCATAAAGTATACCTACCAAAAAATTACAGTAAATATTAAACTTGACAGTGAAACTTTAGAAATAGAAGAATGAAGTAGAGTTTTACAAACTAATATGGGGAGACTTCAAAAATATTTTTGAATAAATAAAAGAAGTTGCAGATACTTACAGTATTTTAAAAACACATACACACATTTCTCTAATGTTCTATAGGCACATACACAGGTATGTAAATACACAGAAATGAGACTGGCATAAAACACATCAGCCTAGTAACTTCTGAGAGAAGGTAAGGACCAGGATTGGTGGAAGCACAGGTTATAAGGTGTGATTAAAAGAGAGTTTAGCCTTATCTACCATATTTCTATTTGTTATAAGGAGAATGTTCTTTTCATTAATTACTTATATAACTAAAAAGTAATTTTAATGCCATAAATTTAAATTCAACATAGTACTGAAAGTCCTAGCCAGGGCAATTAGAAAATAAAAAGAAATAAAAGACAGCTGAATTGGAAAGGGAGAAGTAAAACTATTACTAGTTACAGATGACATAATATTACATATAAATATTATATATAGAAAACTGTAGGTTCCACCAAAAAATTATTAGAATAAACAAATTCAGTAAAGCTGCAGGATACAAAATCAATTTACAAAAGTCTGTTGTGTTTCTATACACTAGTAACAATCTATCAGAAGAAGAATTTCTTTTAAAAATCCTAATTACAATTGCATCAAAAAGAATAAAATACCTAAAAAGAAATTTAACCAAGGAAGTGAAAGACCTGTACATTTAAAACTGTAATACAATAATGAAAGAAAATGAAGAAGACACAAAGAAATGGAAAGATAATCTGTGCTCACAGAAAATACTGTTAAAACGTCCATACTACTCAAAGCAATCTACATATTCAATGCAATCCCTATCAAAATACCAATGGCATTTTTCACAGAACTGGAACAAATAACCCTAAAATTTATATGAAGCCACAAAAGACTCCAAATAGCCAAGCAAACACCAGAAAGAACAAAACTGGAAGTATCATGCTACCTGATATCAAACTATACTACGAAGCTATAGTAATCAAAATAGCATAGTACTGGGATGGAAACAGACATGTAGATTAATGGAAGAGAATAGAGAGCCCAGAAATAAACTCACACCTATATGGTCAATTAACCTATGACAAAGGAGGTAAAAATATACGATGGGGTAAAGACAGTCTCTTCAATAAATGGTGTTGGGAAAACTGAACGGATAAATGCAAAAAAAAAAGAAACTAGATCACTTTCTTATACCATATATAAGAATACGCTCAAAATGGATTACAGACTTAAATTTAAGACCCACTACTATAAAAATCCTAGAATAAGATATAGGCAGTAAACTCTTTGGCATCACTCTTAGTAATATTTTTGTGAATATGTCTCCTGAGGCAAGGAAAATAAAAGAAAAAATAAATGGGATTACGTTAAACTAAAAGTTTTTATACAGCAAAGAAATTCATCAACAAAACAAAAGACTACCAACTGAATGGGAGAAGATAGTCATCAATGATATAGCTGATAAAGGATTAATATTCTAAACATATAAAGAACTCATACAACTCTAAACCAAAAAAAAAAAGTTGAAGAGGATGTGTAGAAAAAGGAACCTTCATACGCTGTTGGTGGGAATGTAAATTGTTGCAGCTACTATGGAAAACAGTATGGAAATTCTTCAAAAAATTAGAGTGTCTATGCAATCCAACATTCTACTTCTGGGTATTTATTCAAAGAAAACAAAAATACTAACATGAAAAGATATATGCACCTCTATGTTCACTGCAGCATTATTTACAATAGCCAAGATATAAAAAAAAACCTGTGTCCAAAGATTAATAAATGAATAAAGATATTATAGTTATATATTCATGGATACATTTACATATTTATGTATTTATATATTATATATAACATACAATAGAATATTATTTAGCCATAAAAAGGAAATCCTGCCATTTGTAACAACATGGATGGATCCTGAGGACATTATGCTAAGTGAAATAAGTCAGACGGAGAAAGACAAATACTATATAGTTTCATTTATATGTGGAATCAAAAACAACAAATAAAAACAAAAACCAGGCTCATAGATACACAGAACAGAATGGTGGTTGCCAGAAGTGAGGATGGGTGAAATGGGTAAAGGAAGTCAAAAGGTACAAACCTCCAGCTATAAAATAAATTAGTCCTGTTAAGGTAATGTGCAGCATGGTGACTACGGTTAATACTACTGCACTGCGTATTTAAAAGTTGATAAGAGAGTAAATCTTAAAAAGTTCTTATCACAAGAAAAAAATTTGTAACTATGTATGGTGATAGATGTTAGACTTATTGTGATCATTTCACAATATATACAAATATTGAATCATATTGCACACCTGAAACTAATATAACACTATAAATCAATTATACCTCTGTATATAAGGTCTAGACAAAATGGTCCTTTCTACCTTGAAGATGATTAAACTATATGATAAAAATTAAAAATAAAAAGGCATTGGAAACATATACAAAAAGTTTGTTTGTTTTTAAAGGTAAGTATATAACTACAGGTAAGGATTCAACTCGTTCCTTTTGGGTCCTCTTAAGTTTAGAGATCATAAAAATCACTCTCTTTGAATGCCATTTATTAATACAACCTGGAACTGAATTCACTCCATTTAGCAAATAAGGTAAATGGATGGCAATTTACCAAACACAGCATCTGAGGGCAGAGCCTTTAGAGTTTGCCAACATCGTATAATATTAGTGTGAAACCGAGACTTTGGCAATTTTCTTTCTTTCCTTTTATTCCTTTCTGGAATAGAATAAATGTCCTTAGCCCACTTGCATTTACCTGAATTTTCACTAGCTCTGACCTGTTCGATTTAGACGTAGGATTCACCCTGACTCAGGCAAAAAATAGGAAAGCTGACCTTCCAGCCTGAGGAAATGGCACCAACACATTTATTTCTTAATAAACACTTGTTGACTTAAAGATAGTTGAGGGATTCTTGTAGTTTGCCCTTCCTGGAACTAAGCGTTGTCTACACTTGTCCTAAGTGTGTGTGGGGCGGGGGGAAGAACACACGAACAAATGGAGAAAGAAAAAGGACTATGAAGGCTTCCTTCAGCTCCACGCACCTGATCAGCGAGCTGGGGTAAATAAAGGAGCAGCGCGGAGGCCACCTGCGAGAGGAGCCAAGGAGGCCAGAAACTCGGAGCCTGACACTGAGGGCGGAGAGCGGGGAGGGGCGGGACGACCCGGTCTCTGCTCCTCCCCCGGCCTGGGCGGCCCCGAGACCGCGACCTACCTCTCCCGCGCCATCCTCGTCACGGCGCCGCGGGACAGCCATGCCCGGCCGTCTGCTGCGGGGCCTGCGGCAGCGGTGGCGCCGTTACAAGTACCGCTTTGTGCCCTGGATCGCGCTGAACCTCGGGCACAACCCAAGGTGAGAGGACGACGCGACCGAACCAGGGACATCTTCCTTCCGCCCCGGCACCGCGGCCTCTGGGCCAGAGGCCAGCTGGCCCGAGGGGGAATGGAGTCTAAAGCAGACGGAGCCTCGGTCAGGCGGAGCTTCAGGTGGCCCAAGGCCTGAGGCAGGCCGGCTCGTGGTGGGTGGAGTCTGAGGCGGGAAGGCTGTGAGTGGGCGGGGCCAAAGGCAGGCGGTGCCCGAGGTAGGCGAGGTGGATGCGGAGGCTGGTGGAGTCGGAGGAGGGCGGGGACCTGGTGGGGATGCGGAGCTCTGGGGCGGGGCCGCGGAGCTCTGGGGCGGGGCCGCGGAGCTCTGGGGCGGGGCCTGAGGCCTATACCCATCGTACCCCGCGCTTCGAGGTCTGCGATGGAGTGGCCGCTCGCGGGCGGTGGCATGTATTGTCCGTTTTGCAGTCCGGATTGGCCGTGGCTCCTGTGTCTGGGCGAAAATAAGAAACTTCTGAAAAAGAAGTTTACGGTGGGAGGGTGCGTGATCTCCTCAACACCAAGGAATAGTTAGTTGGAAGCTTGACATTCCTTAGAAAAGCCAAACCGAGATTTATCTTCACAGCTCTGTGGTATATGGTGAAAGCAACCCTGCCCGCTGTGAAGATAACAGCTTGAAGTAGCTGACGCATAAAAAAGAACAAAAAGCCACTAAATGCACATCAAAGTGTTGGGTCTGAATTAAGGAAGCTAGCTGAGTGGGTGACCATGGGATCAGTATTATTGCCGGCTTTAGTAAGTGGCATGCTAGTGATCTGGAAGAGTACACATAAAACTCAAATAGGCAGGCTAGCTCCGACAAAGGCCAATTAATAACCAAAGAGTTTTCCCACAGTTTCATACTACGGAAACGTGAATTCAAACGCATAATTACCTATAAAAATTTGAGGCAGAAATTGCTTCCTTTTATTCAAAAGTAAAAATAATACCGTTACGGGAATAAAAGTGATGCAATCATTTAAGTACTCCTAGGAAAGAATGTGATAAAGTGTTAACTTAAATTTTTACTTGAAACTACACGCCTAGAAAAAGCCATTGTTTCTGCTTCTGGCTTTCTTATTTAGCATCTTTAGTACCTTGGGCAAGTTCTCTAATATCTCCAAGCCTCAGTTTCCTTTTCTGGAAAAATGATGTAATCAATGTAAGAACCCAACAGCATTTGTGCCCTTCATAAATATTTGCTGTTTTTAACTTGTGTAGGTATTGTTGGAAGTTAGGTAACTAGTCCAAACTACTCTTTTACAACTTTCTGCCCATCACACATGTGAGAACAATTCGTTAAGGCCAGTAACCCAGAAGGGATTAAGACAGTCTGGCTTTTAACAGTTAAAGTGTAGTGAATAGAAACTTTTCCCATTTTCAGGACCCTCCGATATGTTCCAGAGGAATCCAAAGACAAAGTTATCTCAGATGAAGATGTCCTAGGAACATTACTGAAAGTTTTCCAGGCTCTATTCATAAATGATTTCAATAAACAATCAGATATCTTGACTATGCTTCCAGAACCTGTTAAATCAAAATACCAAGACCTACTGTCAGTTCAACATCCAAGGGTGAAACTGCTTGAATACAGACATCATCAGCAAAGTATCTTTAAACCAGAAGAAATTCTTTATAAGACACTGGGTTTCAGTGTTGCCCAAGCAACTAGCTCATTGATTTCTGCTGGAAAAGGTGTCTTCGTTACTAAAGGATTGGTACCAAAAGGCGCGGTTGTATCTATGTATCCTGGTAATGGCACAATTAGTACTTTGCCAAGAGTTTCTTATACACCTATAAATACAAGTTCAGAAAAAAAAAATAAAAAATGCCTAACCTTGTAATCTTTAGAGTAAGAAGTTGAGTTGGAAACTCAGATTTCCATAGATTTTTAAATCTTGGTTTGGAAATTAACTGTTTGTAATTATGTGTTAGAAATTATTATATAAATGCATTTTTCTTTTCAAGGAAAATTTTCTAGTCAATGTTTAGGAGAATATAGTATGGCCTACTTTGATCAGAGTTAGAAAGCACTAGAGAATAAGTTTGGCTTAGATAATTGATAACTGAAGATATGGGTTGAAACATGAAAATGGTATGGGTTAAAACATGAAAGAGAATTTAAGACCTTTCTGCTATTTCTACACTTTGAAAGTAAAGCAGCTTTGCAAAAGATCATTGACTAGAATGCTCAGTAGAATATGTTGTTAAACTAACATTATTTGGTGTAGTGGAAAATATATGTGGATATTTGAGTCAGAAACACCTATGTTTTAAAAAAGTCCTTCTATTTTCTAATTTTTGTCCCCAAGCAAGGGAGTCTCAATTTCTACACAACTCTGTAAAGAATAAATAGAAAAAGCTAGCAACAAATATTAAAATAAATTTAAAGTTTAACATGCCTGAAACATAAGAAGCACCCAGTAAATATTTTCTTACCTCCACTGCCTGTGAAAGGAAAAACCACCTGAATGTCAAACTCATCTATTCCCATGTTTACATTATTTAATTGGTTATTAACAAAATACCTTCTTAAAAGACTCTGATGTCAAATCACATTTCACTTAAAACACACACACACACACACACACACACAACTTTGTAAAACTGAGCCTGAAGCGTGTTCACGTATTTGTTAACCAAGTCATACTTTTTTCTTCTGTGTAGACAAATGGGTTCTGTGCTCCATCTGCTATTGGGTAATCTTTAGGGAGTAAAGTAGCCAAACAAAATGTGATGATCTAGATTGGATGCGAAATATTAGAAAAAGGTAGAGAAATTAAAACATTCTTCCATGTTATGTTTATGTTGCAGAAAAAGGCCCTTATTGTGTTTATGATTTTTATATGTTGTTCTTTGTCTTGTTGTATCATAGGTACAGTATATCAGAAATATGAGCCAATCTTTTTCCAGTCCATTGGAAATCCATTTATTTTTAGATGCTTGGATGGGGTACTCATTGATGGAAATGACAAAGGAATATCAAAAGTCGTGTTCAGGTAAGTCGGTGCCATGTTCAAATTTAATTATAGGAGACAGAACTACACCACCATGACTATGACCACTAACCTTAGTTGTCCTATTGATTAAAGTTGTTAAAAAGAAATTGCACTTTTTCAGTTGTAGGGTTAATTTTGAATTTTTGAATTTTAAGATACTGAAGAACAGTCCCTTAGCTGATGCTTTCACATCTTTCAGATCTTGCAATGGGAGGGATCGACTTGGCCCTTTAAAAATGAGTGATAGTACATGGCTAACATCAGAATTTCATAATCCACTGGCTGTAGGACAATATGTCAACAATTGTTCAAATGGTAAGTTGGCACCATAGGACTGTGAAAAAGATATAAATAAAGCAGTAATAATTCTCTTCCTTTGCCATATAACTGAGATATTAAACCAGAGGCAATCAGGTTTAATATCTCAGCTATTTGAAGCCCTTAAGTAAACTATTACTTTTAAAGGCATCCGCAAAGAGAGAATTTTGGGAAATAATGACATACATTAATTGGAATTCTTCAATTTACTATTTTCTGGTTTTGTAGTAAATATAGGCAATCGAACTGCCATTTTGATCATTATCATTTTTTAATATTTAATTTAGAGATTGTTTTGTGTGTGCCTCAATACAGCCTTATAAACAGTATACTGGTATGCCCTCTCTGTTGCTAAGTTTGAGTCACTTACCTTCTCTGGGGCTTGACTTTCCCATAAGTATATCTGGCTACATTTAGCATAGGCTTTGGTATTAGGGAGAAATGAACTTGAAGCCTGACTCCTCTACTTAATTTCAGAACCTATTTCCTGATCTTTAAAAAATAAATAAACATACACATATACATGTGTGTGTGTATAACCTAGCAGTGCCTGGAACATAATAGCAATTATTAATTTGAGCATGTTCTGATAATTCTGAAAACTATACATTGTCATAATTATTTTCTATGACCTTGTAAAATGGTTCTATTTCTAAAAATTATATCCTTATTTCTAGACAGACCTGCTAATGTCTGTTACCAGGAATTTGATGTACCTGCAGTTTTCCCTATAGAACTGAAGCAGTATCTTCCAAACATTGCCTACAGCTTTGATAAAGAAAGGTTAGTCTTCTAGAAGAGCTTTCTAGAAGAGCTTTTCCTATCTTATTCTATACTTTAAAAAATATATTGTCTTAAAAAAAGCTATGTAGAATTTGGGGTAACTTTTTTTAGTGAAAAATTATAACTTAGATTTTTATGTAATCACACCTTAATGCATTAATGTAGACTTATTTAAAAATAAAAATCTTGCATTAGCTTATTAGTTCACTCTGCTTATTATTGCCATTTTTTATTTTAGGTGGTACTTTTATAAATATCAACCTTGAAAGTTTTTTTTCAAGTAATTCTATTGTTTTTTTTCCTATCTACAAAATCCTCAAAAAACATTTTTACTTTATTTTAAGGATCATGTTCCTCACCTCACATGAGAGCACCCAGTTGAAAAAAGAGGCCAAATTATACTATTATTTCTTTTGCCCATTTCACTATTAGATTTGGAACCTCAGCAGTGAAAGAAAGGGAGTATACCAACTATACCTAAATTAAAAAAATTAAACTTTTAAAAAAAGCGAAAAAAGAAATATTCAGAAGATACACATTTTTAATGTAACATTTAATTTTCTGTCCAGTAAGTGTAATCTACTGAGAATACTCAAGTAGCAATTTTAAATATGACAATTTTGTAGGAAGATACAACCTCTATATCATTTCACTGAGTTGCTATTAACTGGCAAACTTATTTTGTATGGGTCCTATTAAATTGTCCTTTTAAAATGAATGATACTTTAAAGTTAAACTATTCCCTGTACTTAAAACTTGGTAACATTTCTCTATATATGTGTGTGTTTAACAATTAGGTTTTTTAGCCATATATTCTGGGGCATAATGTCACTAGTATTCAACAAGGTCAGGAAAAGTTAAATTTATAGGAACTTTGAAGGTTAAACATCTTGCTGTATCCATAAAAAGTATTTTTTAACTCATTAATTTTAAGTAATGTTTCCAGCTTTGCAGACTACAGAGATACAAATTAATTTTAAAATGTTAAACTATAAAGAATATAATTTTTAAATGCTTTTTGTGATACCAGTTTTGAGGACTTGAGCATAGAAACATGTTCAGAAGTGGCAGTTGTATAAACTTGTTGATTTATGGTCTCTTAAAATGATATAGAGTAGACATACTCTACTTTAAAATACCTTCATCAGGGATAAAAACAATTTCCTCATGGAAATGAAATGCATAAACTAAGATGATGGTAAAGAATAAGAATAAAACGACATCTATAAAACCCATAATTGTTAAATTAAAAATATGAGCTGGTGTCTGTTAATCCTTCTAACTTTTGTATATTTTTCTTTTTGTTTTCAGCCCACTTCGATGCGTTGTTCTTGTCGCACTCAGGGACATCAAACAAGGAGAAGAGCTTTTTTCAAATTATTATACAATTGTCAGCTGACTCTATTAAAAATTAGGTTTTTTATTCAGCTATTGCTAAGTATAAATGTTTTTTGTTAATTATTTCTGAGTTCCACCTATAGAAGAAATATTTTGAGACCTAATTGGAGTGGGATGTTTTTTTTTTGATATTTGTTTCAATTCCATGATAAAGCTATTTGCTTCATTCCAATTTTAAATGTGTAATGCAATTCCAATTTTATTTGGTTTTCGCCAAAATACAGTTTATTAAATTAAAAAGTACTGCCTGAACTTAAATTTCAATGTTTTTTATATGTCTCTGGTGGTTTATATAATTTTAGCAAGGTCATCAGCAATTCTTGTATTGTTGATGTATATGAACTTCTGTAAAAGCTTCATTTTTGCAGAATAAACTAAATCCAAAAATATTTGGTGTTACCATGAGTTAACTGGGTGTATGTACCATTAGTGAGCTTGTGTATGTTTAAATATTGTTTTAGCTGGTAAGGGAGAAATAGGGGGTCATTATACTATTTTCTCTATTTGAACATTTACACTCATACAGTTTAAAACAGAATGTTAGATTGTTTTGGCATGGGAATATAGTTAAAAGATAGTGGTGGTGGGCAGAATACCTATTACCCATTTCTCTTGTTTCCATGTGGAAGGCTTCCATTAGTAATGCTCTTGACCTCTCTCTCTGCCCACTGGAGGGAGATTGATTTTCTAAGATTACCTCTGGAGAAGAACTAGACACCAGTGGCCCAGACCCCTTTAGTTCCTTCTCTGTGGACTCTGCCTGCAGAGAATGTGTCCTAGGCTGCCCTATGCAAGGAGTAGGCTGTAGTCAGCCGAGCCAATGATGGAGTGAGTCTAGAGGTGTATTAGTAAGCCAAGTTGGCCACAGCTCTGAAGTCACCTTCTCAGGAGAGTTTTATTAGTAATAATTACTTTGATATTCACTGACCTGACTCCTGCATCCGATTCTCAGTTCTAAACTTGGATAAGGAAGAGGGTGTTTTTTATTGGGCTCCTCAAATCCTCACATGGAACCTGTTTAACCAGATCCTAACCACCTTCACTGCTACACTAACAGTTTTTTATTTAACTTATTGAAATTTTAATAGCCTCCTGCTCCCTTTACAAAACAGATCACCAAGATTGATTCTTTTAAGTCAGATCTTGACCCATCTCTACTATCCTGGAATATATGCTGAAGTCCTTCATATACATAATCTAGCTGCTCACTACCTCTGAACTTCTCTCTTGCTCACTCTACCAGTCATACCTGCCTCCTTGCCACTCCTTGAACCTGCCATGCATACTCCCACCTCAGGACTTTAGCACTAGCTCTCTGCCTACAAAGATCTTCTCCGCAGGTAGCCATATTAACTCAGTCCCTCCTTTACCTTGCCTAACCACTCTACTGAAATTGACAATCCCCAACTGCCACCCCTGAAACTCCCCATTCCATTTCCCTTCTTTTTCTCTCTAGCATTTATCATGTATATACACATACATCCATTAGAGCTTCTCTGATTATTTTTCTCAGACTCATTTGTCTTTTGTGTCAAGATCCTAAGAAACTAGGAGGGATTCATCTTGTAAAAGAGCCAATCTACTTGATCAAGATCCTGTTAGCCAGAATTTTATGTAAAATGTGGAAACTAACTCCTGTGGACATATTAGGAGAGCTGAACCATTTAGGAATGAACTGTTACAATGCCAATGACTAAAAATAGTTCAGAAAAAAAAAATGCACATTATACAGAGATCAAATATGGTAAAATGTTAACAGTTCATTCTAGATTGTTTTTATCTTTTTAAAAAACTTTTGTCATAATTGGTGAAAAAGTCACCATTAGCTTAAGAGTAATATATGCTATCAAATATTTAGTGAATACCTACCTAGTACGTGAAAGGTCCCTGGAGATTCAAAGAATAAAACATGGTTCCTGCTCATAAAACGCTCAAAGAGGGAGTGTAAAGCTTGCGTACCACAACTTGGTCTGGTCTGGAAAGGTATTTTTTGGAAATAAAAAATAGAACATCTTTTTACTAGTTTTTTAGATTTATAAATAGCTGATTTCATTTGTGACATGAAGAAATGCTTTTATGAATTCTACACCAGTAAATAACTTTGAGGCAGTCACTGGCTTTACCTCCATAAAAACTCATCAAAATTGAGGTACAGAAGAGTACCTCAAGGGTCTCCTTCTACCCCTAAAAGCCTGAAATACTATGCAGCTCTCACATAACATTTAGCTGCACTCTTGGCTGCATTCGAAAATCCCCGCCGCTGAAGGCACTTATGTATATGTGTCTACCACAGACCCCTGCACATCAAGGCTCTTTGGTGTCTGTGAATAAAGAATGTGGTTTTAGACAAGTAACCAAACAATCCAGGTGTCTGTTTTCATTTTATCCTCTTCTTGTCCTTATACAAAATCTGGACATCATATGCAATCTGATCATTGCATACTAAGAATGATACTAGACAGAGAAAGCTCTGGTAAAAGCAAATGAAATATGGGGACAAACTTGTGAAAATAGACTAAAAGAACTTCAGCTTGAAAACATGAAGGCTTAGGGAAGATATTTCTAGTGTCTACTAAATTATGAATATTATAGGTAAGACTAGTTTACCATATAGTCTGTCAAGTAATGTATGATCAGATTGCAGATACCATGTCTTCCTAAAAGACATAGTTACCTAGCATGGTGTTTGAAACATAAAGACAGTCAATAAATATTTCCTGAATTAAATTGGAAAGTATAATCCTCACTTTGGGATAGTTACCATTTTATTTTAAATGGAAATATAGAGGATTTAGAGAAAACATTTTATGTACCAACTTTATTATTTACCTATCAAATATTTACTACATCTAAACCCAATTTAGTAGTGGTTAAATATCTACCCATGTGTTATAACTTAAAATTCATTAAATAAAAATCTATTGGTGGCACATATTCACACGAACCAAGAAAAAAAAAAAGATTTCCAGATTTTTATTTCTGGAACTGTACACCAGGTATTAAAGTACAACAAATACAAAATAATGCTCAAAAAAATCAGTGTTTATGTACAAATATTAAAATCAATGCAACAATAGCAACTTCCTCTTGAACATCTGATACTAAAACTTGTTCTGATTGTCACTAATTAATCTCATACAGGGTACTTATTTCAAACTGGGACCGTTGTAATCATTGGTTATCTAAGAGGTATTTTAATATCTACCATATTTAACAATAAAACTAATAGTTTCCTCCTTTTAGTGAAAAAATTAAGAACTTTTTAAAAAACATAGTAATGTCAATATTTTTATAAATTATTTCAATTTCCATTTGTAGACAATGTGCTTTGAAACTCTGGGCAAACAATCTCCTTGGTGGTCAGGTTTATTCATTAGTTTACATTCAAAGTTGAAATATTTACTAGAGACTTTGGTTAAATTAAATAGTATCACTATGCTCTATAAGGTCTGACGTTCTCAAATATTTATGACCCTCAATTTTAAAAATTAAAAAGGAAACCACCGCACAATTCTTTGACCTAATTGTACACACTTTAGTTATTGTTTAAACAGTATTCTACATCCTTCAAGTAAATTCAGCAGTTGACCATGACAAGAGGAAAACTGAACATTTAAAAAGCTAGCATGAAAAAGATGAAATACGACTAACAAAAGTAAAGTATTGCTATAATCACAGCACCAGTTACACTTCTAAATGAATCTACTGTCCTCTTCAAATTTTCTGTACATAAAATATATATCAGCCAACACTGCAACTGCTCACCATGGATTTTTGGTTTGTTCATACAAAAATAATGCAGCAAAGGAAAAAAAAAAAACAAAAAGAATTTATCACAGTTTGTTATAAGAATTGTGCTTAACACTAGATAATAAAGGCATTATTGTTTCTTCATATGATTGCAAATCAGTTATTTTCATGCTCTCAAACGCAATTCTTCTAATAAACAGTAACAAATTCTTTGTTAAGATGCTTAACGAAGAGGGAAAAAAACAGGAAATCCAGCTTTTAAAAGAAAATTCAATAAATAGCTATTTTACATGGATAAAGTCATAGTGGTACAATTTATGAATGTCACATCAAGCATGCACAAAAATGGTATTATACATGGCAGAAGCAGTCAGAAAATATTGAATTAGATCTAAAAAGGTATGAAGAATTTACACATATATACAAAAATCTTGCAAATTATTGCCTCATTTTAACAAGGAATTAAAAGTAAACGTTACCAGCTAGTTAGCACTCTCTAAGAGGCTAAAATCAGATTGGCATTTTAAAAATCTATTTTAACTAGCTGGAATTTATTTTTCTCTCATATCATTTTCTGGATTTTGGTCAAAAAACTTTACTTAAATAACTAAAGTGTCCATTCAACTTGCTGATAATCAAAACTTTAGATAAGAAACACTGTTTCCATCTTATATCAAGATCTCAGCAATGCATAGATAAACTGAATATATTACTGCATCAGCTACTGAGAATGGGCATGTTCATTTAAGTGCAACTGGTATTACCATTCAGTCATCTTTGTGTAAATTATTTTATACAGACCAGCCCCTGTAAACCCAGAGTGAAAATTAAAATTATAACAATTAAAGATTATGGCCAGTATCTTACTAAATTATAAAGTTGTACTGATTTTTAACAAAAGAAGTAAGGTTCAAAGTTTAGCACATCACAGCAATAAGAAGCTGACAACTTGGATAAATATCTGAAAGCAACATACAGCCCAGGCTACCCATTATTTACTGTGTGCATACAGGAATGCTAGACTTCAGATGTATAAATTAGAAACTGATTTTAAGTTATTAATTTATCTACTTTTGTCCACTGTGCTAAACTAAATTTTATACTAAATGTGCTACTGCGTAAACACTTCAAAGCAATCTTCATTAAAATGCTGCAAAGAAAAACAAGAATACACATCATCCAAAACTAAGGATGTCATTGCAGTTCACAGTTTGTATAATAAATACCCTCCCTTTCCGTCACTACTAAGGTCACTACAATCTATCTACTCATCAGCACAACCTTGAAGTGACTTATACTTACAAATATCAGCAATGCAGCCAAACATTTGTGTTTTCTGCAAAGCAAGACTAGTAAAAAATTGAAATTTTTAATTAAGGCGGTGCAAAAAAAAAAAAGTAAAACTGTTTTAACTAAAATATAAAAGCAAAGCTTATTACATCCTAATACTGTATTACATATTGTTTGAATTCACCTTATAACTTAAAGATGCATATCTATAGAGCAAAAATGGCCAAAGTTTATGACCATGGTTTCTCATTCACAATGTTTGCAACAAAAATAAAAGTGAGTTTGAGATGCATCTGAATATCTATCACTTTTTAAAACTTAAAGTGGTAACGTACCATTCTATTTCAGA